AATTTGCACCTGTGCATTTCTTGGCACAGCCCAACCTGCAGCAAGCCAGGAGTAAATTCAGTTAGGAGATTTCTGGCACAAAGCTGCCTCAGCTGAGCTAAGCCAGCATGAAACAACAGGAGTTCAGTGGGTTCAATCTCATGTGCAGACCAAACTTGGGCTGTAGCTTCAACCCTGCCCTGAGATGGCAGGAGAGAACAGGAGGTGTTTGGGGTGAAGGGTTTTGCTGTGGGTAATTTATGTCATCTTAGAACAGCTCTTTGCTGATACTTACTGCCCGAGGGAGAGGCTCTGGATTATACCTGGCTGCCCCCAATCCTCCCTGCTCTACCAGCACCCTGATGTCATTTAGGGGTTCCCCCTTCTCCCCTCTCCAGGCCCTAAATTCTGGAATGTCCGTGCCCTGGGAGCCATCCCACTGCCGACCTCTGCTCAGGCAATGGGGACCCACTGTGAGCAGGATGCTGATGCTCATACTTGAGGTTTTTGCTCGGTTCCTTTCTAATCCGAATTTTCAATTGCTCATAACTTATGTCATTTGGGCTGGAATTTTCCAGACGTGATCTCCCTACAAAGGTGGCTCTTTCCTTTTATTTTCTTTTTTTTTTTTTTTTTAACCGAGGAAAAGCGTTCAGCCAAATGGTCTGGCCATGTCCATTTTCTTTATTTTTATTTTTTTTTCAGTAAACACAGACTTTTCTCATTATGTATTAGAGTTATAGTTCTAGAGTCACCTTTCCTGCTGCGGTGTCAGTGGGGAGCAGGCCCCTGGCCGACCGCCGGGGAGCTGGCGTGCAGAGGGGGATCCTGCAGTCCAACCCAGCTCAGCTTTCCTCAGCTCACCCAAACACTGACCCTCCCCTGAGCCCTTCAGGTGCCCCGGGAAACCTGAATTACGACCCATGAAGAAGACATTTTGCCCAAGAGCAGAGCAATACGTGTGTTCCTACTTCAGTGTTTGTTTTCCTCCAGCAAGCTGGAGGCAGGTCGGGTGGGGGCCAGGCTGCTTTCAGCAGGAGCCTTGTGTGGGTTCAAGTTCAAAACCCCTTTTCCTTCCAGATTTTCCAAAAGCACTGATTTCCAAGTAGGGGTGGGAAATATTTATTTGCAGGTATTTCTGACACATTTATGCTGTTGCTCCCTGTCATCTCTCTGTTGTGAGGACCTGGGGGGTGGTCCCCACCACTGAAGGTTGGCTCAGGATGGCCAGCAGTGGGGACAGGCAGCACACACATGCAATGCCGTGGCAGTTTTGTGAGTTCCTCCCTTCCTTGTGGAGGCAAAGGGGTTAAAGCCGACAGGGTGAATCCCAGGGGGTGTTGGGGGCTGTGGCTCTGCAGAGAGGGGCGGAAGCCGCTCCCCCTCTCTGCTGCTGCTGGCCATGATGTCACCTCCCTGCTGTCCCCAAGGAAGCGTTAAACCAGCCCGTGTGCTAAGGGGGCCCGGCCGTGCAGGTGGGCAGCACCTGGCAGGGGGTGCCCATGGCTGCATCTGACAGAGAACCTCAGCCCACAGCACAGCCCCCTCCGGGGCTATGTGCCACCTCCTGGCTGCTGAAAAGCCTTGGAGAAGCCGGGAGTGAGAGGTGTGGTTCTGCTCCTCATGTCCCTTCTGACATCTGCCTGACGGGAATCTGGAGCAGGCGAAGGCTGGAAAAAAATCCCCATTACATTTTTCAGGGAGTAATAGGTCATCTCACAGTGCAAGGCTCTTTTTGGGGTGAGGTTGACCACAGAGCATCCCTGCTATGCCTCCTCCATCCTCATCCCATGCTGACAGCAGATGCGAGTCCAGCTTGCACCCTCATGCCAGAGAAATCCCTTTCTGCAGCCCTCTCTGCAGAGAAGAAAGGCGTGCAAAGGAGTCTCCTATATTTCTCCAATTAATGTAATTAAGAGAATTAAACTTTTGGAGAGAGTGAGTTTTTCATTTTCTTTTTATTTGATTAGGGAAATTCCCACTGCACACTCTGTGCAAATGAAACCCAGGCTCCTTCCCGTTGTTCGGCAGCCCCGGGAGGACACGTTACCTTTCAATCTCGCACACTAATGTGTTTAGAGTTAAAATCCCCCCGCCCCAGGCGAGTAAAGGAAGGATCCCAGAGCCTTGATTAAAGCACGGCTTCCTGAGCAAGGATATGCATGTGAAGCTGCTGGGCTCACAGTGTGCCCTGCACAGCCAGCCGAGCCTCCCCAGGAACACCAGGAGATGCCACCACATCCTGGCGCTTCCAGTTTTCTGCTGGTAAGTCCAGGGTCGTGCAATAAAAGCCAGGTAAAATCAGGGCAGCCCTGGGATGGGGTGGCTGGTCCCCACATTTCATTAGAGGTCTGTCCTGGCCAACTCGCTCATGTGAATTCCAGTGCCGTGGCCCCATCGGGTGGTTTAGCACGTAACACTGAAAAGCAATTATTTTTTGCAGCCTGAATATTAAAAACTCTTCTCGACAAGACTGTATTTAGTTATCAAGGTTACTGAAAAATAAAACATGAGTAAAAGTCTTTGTACAATCCTGCCATGAGGCCTTGGGTACTTATATTATCCCACAAGCGCTCCAAAATTACAAACCAGCTCCCCAAAATGAAATAGGCTTAAAAATCAATAAGAATAAAAAAATACATTATGACTTTTAATTTTTCTTCAGCTTTCTGAGCATTTTGGGCACACAGGGGACATGTTAGACATTAATGAAAGCTGCTTTTCTCATCTAAACACAATTTCAGGTGGTCGTAACTTTGAAAACCATGGAGACATCACTGGGTCTGTGGCAGGTACAGATCTGGACAGGGAAGAGAAATAAAAAAACTGGGGCAAAATGGCACCACTTTAGCACCACTGGGGTTTCCCACAGTTTCTTGTAGCTGGAAATGTGTCTACAAGGAGCCAAACCTGCTCTTTTTTAGTTTTTTCCCCCCAGCAAAAATCTGCTGACCCAAAGTCTGGCTTTCTGGTTCCTCCCGTTTAGCATAATGAATTGGAGATAGAGCTCCAGGAGCGCCGTCTGGGGTGGGAGGAAACCACAGGACGGCTCGGGAGGCAGCACAGGGCCCTCGTAGCTGTGCTGACACGAGCACAGGTGGCCCAAGAGCGGGCTGGAGGTGAGGCTTGGATTTCCCAGTGTTTGGCTCGTCTCCAGTAAAAACGTTAAAGATCCGCGGCAGAAGATGAACAGGGTTATCTGGATTTAGCAGGAGGCGTTCCCTTCCTTTTCGCTTCCAATGGAGGAGTGGGAACGGCTCCCTGCGGTCTGGAGGAAAACTTGAAGCTTTAAAGCCCATCAGGTTTCTGGGCTCACAACAAGCTCTTCTGATTATATCTTTCTTTTTTCTTTTTTTTTATTTTTAATTTTTTTTTTTTTTATTAGGTGAAATATTTTTTTTCCTGTTAATCTCTAATTCCTCCAGATTTCCCAAGGGTCATCCAGAGGAGAGAAGCTGGAGGAGGGAGGAGGGAAAGGTTGGGCAATGTCATATTGGGAAAACGGCACAGCATAAGATTTATGGATGCTTTTCCAGATCCTCAACTCTGCATATAACCATTAGGCTAGTGACTTGCTTGTGACAACCCACAGGTGACCTCAACACGTGGGTTTGGAAAAAAAGCACCCACAGGCATCACCCAGAGATCAGCTGCCCATCACCACAGCACTGGCAAACCTCCACTTTGGGAGGATAACGAGCATTTTTGGCTGCAGCAGCAACGACGCCATAAAACTCCACGAACTGCTGGTTGCAGGCTTCTCCCATCGCTGCTCCCAGCATCTGTGGAAGGGAAAACTTCCCAGCGTAACATCCACAACCTCTTAAGTAAATAGTCTTTAATGTTGCACTAAAGGGTTGTAGTCTTAATATGTAAAATCTGTTTAGCTTTTTTAATTCTTGGATCGTGCTGTGGAAAGTCCTCCAGAAGTTGCCTGTTGGCTTTTTTCCCTTAGCCTTTGGTCTCGGAGGAGCTGTGGCCAGGAACGCCCTCCCGCAGAGCCGCCGCAGCCCCGGGCCAGCGGGAGCTGGTGGGAGATGCCCTGAAGATGGCAGCAGGGCCATGGGCACAGGCAGCCAGGGCTGCGACAGCCGCCGGGTACCACAGCGCTCCGCTAAATGCTGGGTGAAGCAAATAGTTTGGCTTTTGAGAAGAAAGAAAAGAAAAAAAAAAAAAAAAGGGTGGGGAGCTGTTTTGTAACAAATGCCGGAGCTCTCCCCGCAGCTGCAACTTTCTGCTACATCAGGATGGAGAAAATCACACCCGCCCGCTGCAATCTGCAGGGATGCTAAAAGGCTCATCAGCCCCTCGCAGCTGGGTCCTGCCCGCTGAGTGGCAGCTGAGCCTTTTTAACAAGGCATGAAGGGTGGGATGGGTTTCCCCGACAGCTCTGGGTGCTGCCAGCTTCAGGCTAGGGGATTTATTTTAGGGTTTCTTCCTTTCTTTGTGCTTGTAGCCCTTGCAATGTGGGTTTATCACTGGTCTATGGCTGTTCCACTGATGGCATGAAGGCAAGTGTGAGATGGAGTCAGTACCTGTTTGGCTACTGATGGGGTTGTGTGTGTCCTGGTGTGTTGGCTGGGTCTGCTGGGTGCTGTGGAAATATGTAAATAAAAGGAAAAGCAATGTTTCCCCAGAGTTCTCGCAGTCTCGAATTAGGGAGGCTGAAGTGCTGTCAGTAAGTACAGACTGTGGCTGGGAGAGGCATAAAAAGCATATAGGGAGAGCACTGGGAGAAAGAGGAGGAGGAGGAGGAGGTCGGGGTGCCGTACCCGTGTTTTTGTTTAGACTGGAGTACTGCAGCTGAGCTTGTCTCCTGCCTGAAGTGGGGAAGCTCGGGAGAGACCAGCCCTGCCAGGGATGCGGATGTGTGAGGGGGTGCAGCAGCCCAGGAGGGTGAGGTGAGCGAGGGGACTGTGGCAGGGCTGATGGAGCTGGGCAGGGAAAATACCCAACCTCAGCCACGGGGTTGCAGGACAGTAGGAGGGTTTAAGCCACCACAGTGGAAAGGCAGTAATGAAGGCGAAGAACATGGTCAGTCTGAGCAGTAGGGTTGAAATCATCATCCTCCAGTGTTCTGACCTTCATCTCCATTGCAGCTGAGGGATCTTCCCCATGGCCAGAAACACTCAGATGCTGTGCAGACAGAACAATTCTGCCTCCTGCAGAGCTGGGCCAGGCAGAGTGGCAGGCTGGCCCCAGAGATGGGATCCACTTCTGTGTAGAAGCACTGGTCAGGAGACAAAGGAGCATTTGGGCCCACAAATCTCAAGGTAAGGACCCTGGGTGGTGTTAATGGCCCTAGAGCTGGCTGATGGAATGGGGGTTTGATGCAGGGATGTAGGGGAAGGGGATGGGTCCTGGGACCTAAACATCCATGTCTCGGAGGACAGTAGCTGTACAAAGAGAGCTCTGTGCACCGACAGGCAGGACAGAGCCCGCAGACAGACGGGGAGGAGGAGGCTGAGATCATGTAAACACTGCGAAGGTAAGAGATGTTGGCCCAAGGCACGGAGCACGCTCTGGCTGGCGGCAGTGACAGCTCCGGATGTCAGTGCACAGGCACAAGGGGCTTCAAAGAGAAGGCAGTGAAGCAGCACATCTGGCAGAGGTGGGAGGTGGGCTTGTGGCAGTGTTGCTGCAGTGGAAGAACATGGAGATAGGATGTGGGAATACACGGCTGCAAGTGAACACAAAGCCCCGGTGCCACCACACTCAGCATCAGTACATTTGAGGAGTTGTGTCCCTGGTTCAGCTCCAGCCCAGGATATGTGATATCTTTCCTAACCCTGCTACAGAGGAGAGGCTTGTGAGATGCCACTGTGCCTCCTGAACTGTGGCACACTGGCCTCGTGCTTTGCAGCAAGTGCCACAGTTGAGAGTACCTGAGTGCACAGGGGTCTGTGGTCCCCTCTGTGGAGATGTGGCCCAGCCAGCAATGCATCCATCTGTCCTTCCAGCATCACCCATGTCCCTCCAGCAGAGTCCAGGCAGAACCATGCTCTTGCTCAGACAAGATCTTTCTGTGCAGGTACAGCTAAAATGACATCCTTGGTGCCTGCCCTCGGTGTCAGCATCTCTGGGGCCCCTGTGAGTCAGCACTTGGTCCCCTCTGCCTGGAGTGCTGCCAACCCCTGAGCAATGGTTTCCAGTGCATGCAGCCAGGTTGTGTGTCAGGAGGATTAATGACAGAGGCTTCTCAGGGCTTTGAGATCTGGGTCTAATTTAAAACCAAAACAAAACTTAGAATTTTAGGAGCAGGGGAGTTGCTGTCCTGGGGCAAGCCTGGGATGCAGCTCGTCACATATCCGATCTTGCAGAAACATGTGCCAGGACCTTCAGAGAAGGTACAAGCAAACACCTGGTACACAGGAAAAACCCAGCCTCCCAGGGGTGCTTTCTTCTTTGTCTTTTGCTATTAGTCATTAGCTTATGCTCCGAAGCACATGGCCTTATCTTCCCTCCAGGCATCTTCCTTTTATCTACCTTGACTCATGGAGCTACAGAATCTTCTATTAGCTGCGTAAATGTCAGATCTTCTTTAAAATCTTACAAAACTCTCTGCCTGTTGTATCTTACGGCAAAGAGTTCCACATATAAATCATGTGCTGGTGTAAAAATGAGTTTCTTATCAGTTTTTAGCTTTCGCTCTTTGGATTTCACCATCTGTCCCAGCAGAGCTTTCACTGTTGCATGAGGGATGGACACTCATTGCAGAGTGAGCTGGATGCCAAGACCAACTCTGGTTTTCCCTGACTTTTTCTGGTAAAGGGCTTAAAGTTGGTGACTAGAAGAGTTTGACAGCAAAACTCCTCTGCAAAAAGTCTTCAGCAACTTTCTTGCTGGAAAGAGGGGCTGGCAGTGGAGCAGCTCTGCATGCCAGAGGGATGGGAAGTTCAGGCTGAAGATGTCTCCCAAGGCAAAGGCTTGGGGTTGTGCCAGGTTGTGGGAGGTGGAGGTTTGGGAAAGGGCTGCAGGGCTTAGCCAAGGACCAAAGGAAATGTGGAACAGGGGAACGTTTGTCTTGATTTAATTTGACACTTAAACTGAAAGAGTGTGATTTGTAGCTGTGCACATTTAAAAAGCTCCTCGAGATAGGGAAGTGAAGGCAATAGCAGGTTTGGATGCCAGATCAGATAAGACCCTGTGGGTAATGCCTCTACCTTACTCATTTTTATTCAGATTTATCTCCATGCTCCTAATAAAACCCAATGGCTTGAAATTCTCCACTGCTGACTCTATTTCCAATATCTCCTTAACTGTGAGGCACCTGAACCCAATGTGACATTTACTGTTGTATTGCCCTAGCCTGAGACAGCTCTTCCTGGCCCTGCCTTCACATGCCCAAAGGCAGTTTGGTGTCCTGGTTTCTACTGAGCACCAAGCTCTGTGTTGTGATGTGTTTGAGCAGCTTGGACAAGGAGACTTGATGGGACAGAACCCAAGAGGTGATGGAAGGGGTCCTGGAGGCCCCTACTGTGTGCAAAATCCCAGTTACTGTGTGTTAGATGGCCCATATGTATCCTGATAGAGGGGCTGGTCCCTGGGGAAGGTGGAGGGAACAGAGTTGGAAGGACCATTGAAGATTTTGCTCACCAGGCCCCATTGCTTGTGCAGCAGAGGCCTCAGGGCTCTCTGATCTGCACAGGAGCTTTGCTGGGAAGAAGGGAAGCAGGCATAGCCTGGGCATGTGGAGGCATCACCAAAGAATGTGCCCACGCCCTCCACAGGGCACATCATGGGGTGCTGGCATGAGAACCCCACAGGGAGCCACTCCAGCAGCCAGCTTCTGAGATGGGCCCTCTGCAGGTACCAGAGTAGCTGGTGGAGCACACAGAGACTCATGTAAGTGCTGGCCAGGATGAATGTGTTTGGCACTGACCCTAATCCTTTCCTGCCAATGCACTGATTGGAATTGAATTTCCAATATGAACAGTCGTGGGACTCTATCTGCAAGCTGGCGAGGAGAGCTATAGATTTTTATCATGCGTTTCACAGCTATTTCTTTAATTTAAAAAAAATAATAGGAGTGACTGCTGAAAACACTTCAGCAGCCAAACAGTCGTGGTGGTGTTGGGCAGGGCAAGACTGGGCTGGATGTGAGCTGGGAAGGCAAGGGGGGAGCAGCAGCTGCCAGAACTGCAGCCCAGCACCAAGGCAGAACCAGCTCAGCCCCTGATGGATTTGTGGGAGGTTTCTCAGCCCTCTGGGATGGAGGTGATACTCGCTCCTGACGGGTATTACAGCCAAAAGGAGCTTTGCCTCCCTGAAGCTTCAGCCCATTATTTCTCACTCACCATGGAGGAGCCCCTTCCTCCCTGCAGGATCCCTCCACCTGAGGGATATCCCATCTCCTTCCCCAGGGGATGGCTGACCCTAGCCAGGCAACCACTCCAAGGCTTTGCAGACTTCTGGCTCACCTCCCTGACCTTGGCCAGCTTTCACTGCTCATTTCCCACTCTGTTACAGGTGGCACCCAAAATAGGACATATTCACAGGGGTGACTCTGGCAGGGCTGGGGAGGGTGCTGGAGGCAAGATGTTCTTTTTGTATCTCCCAACAATACTCCCTTTTTTAATCTTTTAATCTTTTTTTTTGTCACAGTACAAGGCTCCTGACTTGTGTTCAGCCTGCAATCCATTACATCCCCCAGCTCTTTTCTGCAGAGCAGTTGCCTTGCCAGCTTCTCTCTGTATTTATTTAGGCTTCCTCCCCTCTGCCCTGTATTTGTTCAGTTGAACCTTGCACTTGTCTTGGTGAACACCCTCCTGTTTTTCCTGGCTCTGTCTCTGATTTATGAAGATTGTTCTGAGCTCTAATCCTGCCTAGACGAGTTGCCTGAGCATTCCTGGTTCTGGCAGGAGGCACGAGCTCTCCAGCAGGTGACAAGAGGTGATTTTTCTCCATGCACAGGTTAAGGACAATCATCTTCTCTTCCTTCGACCCTTTCCACCCTCATATCTTTAACAAGACTGGTCCATGTGTGGCAAATACCCAGGGAATGCTCTTGCTTGAGGATTAAAAAAAAAAAAAAAAAAAGATAGGCAGCATGCCCGGGGGAAGGCAAACATCCTCGAGATGCTGGGAAAGGGGCACAGCATGACACTGCCCTGGAAGAGCCTCCCCTCTGCCCCTGTTGTTATTGCTGCTCCCTTTTTTTGTCCTGAGCAGCTTGCAAATATTTTCAGTCCTGCAGGTTGTTTCCATTAAGAGGGAAAAATCAATGAGGCAGCCAAGAGCCTGTGGCTGAGCCTGCTCTCTGCTAAAAATGGACCAAATGCCTCTTTCCTGAGTGCAACGGGGTGGGTTTGCCTTTTCCCAGCTCTGACCCCATCTCTTCCCGAAAGCTGCTCCGTGTTCTGGGCCTCCCTGCCTTGGAGCTGCTCTGGCTTCTCCTCCCTCAGCCCAAGCCCAGCCCCAGAGCTCATCCTCGGTTGGGGCTCGGCAGCTCCTGCTAATGGGAAAAGCATTCCTGTCATTTCATCAAGTCGCTTAATAATTCGCCAGAAATGCCTATTGATTTCTTGCACGCTTCTGTGCAGACAGAGGTAAATAAGAGCCATTCGTCATTGCATTATGTATCGGTAATTAAAAATTACTAGGTAACTTGAACCAAAAATTGAATAATTTGAAATAAAATTAAATAATTCTAGGTAATCAGTACTAAATGAGACCATTATTTTACTTATCAGTGACTAAAAATTACCAGGCATTTTTCCTCATTTGGATGCTCTCCTTCGCCCTCCGTGTCAGTAGAGCTTTCTAATTTGTTTTAATTGTTAATTTTAATGAGTAGTGTTTTTCTGATAACATTTTAGCGTGTTTTGTTGTTTTTAGAGAGGGTTTTTATTGCATTGCACAAAGCCTGAAGCACCTCAATGTGGGAGCAATTTGGAAGCTAAATTATTATTATTTATTTAAATCAAACCCTCCAGCCTCTTTAACCGTTTGGCTGATTCTGTAATTGCAGCACCAGTGTGATGGAAGTGCTCATGAGGCTGGCAAAGAAGTGTCTGGATACTCTTTTCATCTCTGTGACCATGGCATATCCCCAGCCACTGGTTCTAATTCCTGGGAAGAACTTTTGGACCCAGAGCAGTGCTGTTACTCCAGCACCTCCCATCAGTGGTTTGGAGGCACCTGGAGTAGGACACGAGTAGAAACTTTCTATTTCAGGGTCTCATCCCATCCGTGGAATAAGCAAAATTTGGGGATAGGCAGCGAGACACCAATCTCAATCTCAGCTCAGTTTTTATCTGGTTGTGGCAGCAGG